TTTCCTTTTCCACTTTTAGGTTATTAGAATTAGATTAGATGTGTACTTTTGTTGAAGAGAGTGGTGATCATTAATTTATGGTATTGTATATGCACTAAAGTTGATCTTTAGATAAACATTTAATTAGTTCTAATAAAAATTCATGAGTTTATTAAAAAAAAAAATATTGGACTTTTATTTGTATTGTATATAGGGTAAGATTGCAAATGAGTCGAGTTGAGCGTCGAACTTTTTTCTTCATTATTCAAGCTCGAGAAGCCATGTAAAATGCCGCCCTACATAAAGAAAAAATAAGAATGCTCGAGTTCAACTCGATGCTCAACATGACTCAAGTTCGACGGGAAATTCGAACAACTAAATTTTGAATATAAAGGTACTATTTTTAATCTAAATAAGCAATTTTGACATTGGTGTTGTAGCATTGATAATTAAATTATATGAGGTATTTATGTAAATAAAATTCAAACTGTTCGTACGGATCTTGAAATGATGCTCGAGACTCGACTCATTTGCACCTCTAAATAATTCAAGGTAACATTTGAGTATGATTTTAGTTGCACAGGATCAATACGACAGCTTAACCCATCAACAGAAACTAACAAAAAACCCACATAAGTAATATAAACTATAAAGCTATAAATTAAAGTGAACAAATCCTAACAAGTGAAAATCTGAAAGCAACTAAAGAAAAGCACTAAAAAAAGTATACAAATATAAGCACTTAAAAATAATAAAATATGCACCTAATATAAAGAAAATCATCGAAAGAAACGAAGGATAAATAGAGTATCTTGTTTGAAAGATAACATGAAAACTTGAAGCTCTAATGGCTTATATAAATTTGAAGGCAAACTAAAAATATCAAGAAAGGCCCAATATTTTCTCACTAGAAACAAAGCTAGCAAAATGTGAAAGTACTATAACTTTCAGCACCCTACATGATAGAATAAAATAAGTTGAAATATGAAAATTTGTGTTAGGAGTTATTTGACTTCAATGAACAAATAATATACAACAGATGCAATCAAGAAGAATACACTAGCGAAAATTGTTGCAAAGGGAATAAATTGTAGTAGAATGAACAAGGGAAGATAAAATCAAACTTGAAGATCATCAAAGAAGAAGGCAAGTAAACAACAATTCATGCTACCACAAATATATTTCATACATATAGATATGCCACTTTCTTAACCTATCAAAATAGAATAGTTACCCTGTTCCAATACACCAAAACATAATGCAAAAGATAGCAAGTTTCACTTGTTCCATATAAAAGCTAATACAAAATGAGAGAGATAGCAAAGTTTCAAGTTCATCTCGTTCTACGAAGCTAATACGAAATAAGAAAGACAGCAAGTTTCCTCCAGTTGAAGGATGCAAAAACAAAACAAAGAAGAACGACAAGAGACCACAAGTTCAATTGTAATTTCTCTTAGATTGTTCAGCTTTTCCATTTTCATGGTAACTCTTTAACATCTTGAACTCCTGCTCCAGCACGACAACCTTCTTCTGCATCAACAGCCTCAGAATCAGCTTTCTTTTTCTTGGAAATGCATACATGTTCGGAAAGTTCCACCACGGCTGTATCACTATTGTCTGTTACCAGCATGCACTCGTCTTCATTATTATTTTCAGCAATATCATCTGCATCATTATCATTAGCGTTATTATCATCAGCATTATTATCATCGGCATCTAATAAGCTCTCCTCCTTCATTTGATTCTGCAGTGATTCAATCACATTCATCAACTCCCGGTTGACCTGCACACGATATTAAATTTGGATCAGTCCAATATAAACATTCAGATGTGATAATTAATTTTATTATTTCTTTTTTTTTTGTTAGTAAAATCATAAAATGAATGACATGGAGATCTTTCCTGAAACTAATAAAATTCTGAGAGAAGTAAGATGATATACTTACATATACATAAACTATATACATATTAAAAAAAATCACACCTGGGGATTCTGAAGGAATTCAGATATATCATTTATGCAAGCCGGGCATTTCATAACATTCTTCTGTGCCCGCAGTGACCTCCCTCCACATGTCCTATCTTTAACAAAGGACTGACCAGCAAAGGCACCCTCTAAGCAAGCCTTGCAGAAGTTATGAGCACATGGAGTGGTGAGTGGAAGATCCATCACTTTCCGACAGATAAGGCAGCTAAATTCTGCAATACAAAGGCATCACGTAACACAATGCATTCTTCATAAAACATGAATTCATTTGACTTGTATAAATTATAGCTCTGAAAGACTTTCAGGATGGAGTAGAATTAGAAATAAACCTTTCAGAAGCCTTTCTTTCACAGAGCCCTTTGACTTCTGACGTTTTCTTTTCTTGGTACTCTGGTCATCATCATTACACTCACTGAATCCTTTGTTACTTTCTGGTTGAGGTCTCTTCCACATCCATAGACCCCGTTGCTCCTGAATTTAAAAGTTTTTACATCTTACTACAGAAAAGGCACTCAAAATTCTTTCGCAAATTGAACACAGTGCGAGGGAAAATCTTTACTTTGAATTCACATGCAAATATGTGTGTGTGAGTGTAAGCACAGTTTAGATAAAATAAATATCCCTCCCTGGTGCAAGAGTTAACCAGCCCACATTCCAAATTGAGTAACCAGCCATTGGAGCATTTATGAAGATTGCATCTATTAATGTGGTTATATGCATAACAGGGAAAAGTCATAAAAAGAAAGTACACACCATACCAATAAAAGTTCCACAACAAAAATGAAAAGGAAATATTAATTGTAGGAATAAAAAAGAACCATAATATTTTGTAAGAGCTAAACAGAAATCAAGTAACATTATCATCGTGCCATATAAAAAATAAATATCAATAATCAGCTAGGAGCATGCATGATTTATATGGATGAGTTGCTTTGTTTTCATGTGGGGACTGTGAGTAATAAAAGGACTGAAGAATAACATGGGCTGGTTATTCTCTTTCTTTATTGTGATTGAATGATTAATATGAATTATTATTTCATTTTGTGAGATTCTACAATAAAAGAAGGGGAGGTTTTTCCTTAATACATCTGATTCAATTATTTCTTTTAAAAATTTATAATAGATCTTGGCCATCTATTCTGATAATATCTAGGGATGAAATTAGTTCCTAGTTTTTAAACTAGGACAAGTTTTTATTGTAACATATATACGATTTATGCGTGTGGATGTGTGTTCCCAAGAAAATAATGAAATTATCCAATTATAGCAGTTTATTCTAGTTTCTCACGTCATAATCCCATGCAGGAATCCCTTTTCTTTGAGTGATGTCAGTAGCTTTCTTCAACTCCGGAACAGGAGGCAGCGATGACCTCGGACGGTCTCCATGGGTATCACTGTAGCAGACATTTAACTTAAGTTTCATGAATATAAAAATCAAACAACATGAGTACATGGGCTGAATCAGGCCAATGGTGTAGTAAATACCAAGAAAGGAGAGAAGGAAAACATAAAAGCTAAAAGGAAAAAACAACACTAGCCTTGTCCATGGAGCAGGATCATTATCACAACGAACAAAAAGATAGCGGCAGACCTTAAAACCCTGTATGAATTCAGTAATAACGCATTCAGAGGACATATATAATAACAAGTCATGCAAAGTTCTTTTGCAATTTCTACCTGAGCTCCATTCTTGCGCCAACACTTTTCAATCCTGTAAATCCCATCATAACGTACGCCTTCTTGAGGTGCATACGAAGAACGTTTCTCTTTATGGGACCTGCCCAAGATAAGAAAATTGAGAATGATTATGCTATTGCGTGATAAAAATGACCAGCATTGTGAAGGCTTGATGTCATCTTCGCCTGCAGTAATTCATACAGCCGAATTAAATTTGGAGTCAGACTCTTAAAATATTTGCTCAATAGGCACTTCTGATTGTTCACAATTCTTTACAGTTTTAAAATACTTGACCTAGAGTAGCTTGAATCTCACAAAAGCAGCAGTAACTAAACTCATTGAGAAAAAATTCTCAAGAGTGCCATAATCAATCAAAGCTTCATATCACACCAGTTTCCTTTTTCTTACAATTCCACTGACAGAGAAATACTCGCTTACCTCACCACACGTACTGGATAACCCTGTTTGCAACTGACTCGCAAAGCTTCATTAAGTTTTGTAAATGTCTGGTCGAAAGACTGTAACTTGTTTGTCCTTTTATTCCCGCTAAGATCACGTCCACCACTGAAACAAGCAATCACATGAAAATAAAGAAATAAAACACAAAAAAATGACAATTAATAAAGTAGTTCACAAGATGATTTGGAAGTAAATACAACGACAAGCTGTAGTAAAGCACACGATGTGTGCATGGTTACCAACTGGTATCAGAACATGTATCCATGGATTATTAAAACCCATGAAAGTACAGTGATAATAACAGCGTACATATCCGTTAAGCCTTGCTAAGATATAAACTGACCATTTTAAGACACGTCACAACAAAAGAGAATTACTTGAACAAGAGTAAAGCAAGAGTTGACAATGGTCTGTCAACTGTCAACAAAGAAAATAATAATACTAACTAAAAGTACAAAAATTGTAAATCCAGGAAAAAGGTTTCCAGGCTTCAAACAGAATATATTGCACAAAGAAATATTCCTAATAAAACTTACAATCGTTAGATTACTCACTTTAAATTCAATTGTTGCAATAATATGAGATGATATTTCACAGTTATCTCGTAACTTTCTCATTGACAACTCAATGTTAATATGAAATTTACTTAACATACCTTCCAGTGTAGAGGAACCAGTCCCCATGATCCTCGTCATCTTCATAACCTCCAGACAAAGCAACTGACTGAGCACCATGATCTGCCTGACCACAGATTCCGGCAACATGAGGAAAGTGGGCACCCCATTGCCTGCATTCCATCCGATCTTCCCATGTTTCCCCAACCAAGACTCCCAGCTTTCTTTCTGGGTCATTCTCCACTGTAATTGGACCAAAATGATCAAGAGGAACTGTGACAAATATCTTCCCACTGCATGCATTAGCCTTCCCAGCTTTTCGTGCACGCTCAGTAGTGAAAGCTTTGTCTGGACGATCTTGGTTGCGGATAAATGGATAGACCTTTGGGATGCCTTCTGAAACATTTGTCTGGGAAAGTTTAGCCATCCTAATGGCCATAACAATAGCAGAGTTAATTCGAGGCTCCCTTGCCATCTTTTCAGGAATCTGCTTTCGACACATAGCACAGCTCTTCTTGCACTGCTCCTGCCGCCCAATCCATTTTTGGAAGCATTTCAAGCAAAAGTTGTGGCCACAAGGAGTCTGAAAAAAGAGTTAGAGAGGTTAAAAAGACCAAAGCTCTTCAAGTAATATACACATTTCAGTGTCTGAAACAATACCAAAAGCAATAAAAAAGATGAAAGCTCTTCGAGCAGTTTACGTGCTTAGCACTTTACTTTAGTGCAAATTATGAACATTTCTTCCAGAGCATATTTTTCCACACAATGGCATGCTTTGCTCCAGTTTATATTATCTTTCCAAGACAACATATAAGGCAATAAAACAATACTATTCTATACTCAAGTGTTTGGTAATTAGCAGTTTATCTCAGGTCATTTGCCAACGGGAAATAATATTTGGAAACAAGATATGTAAAGATCAAGCCATCAAGGTCGAAATCAAATATCCTTTTGGTTCACAAATCACAGCAAATTTCCAGCTTATATAGAAACTCTTCTAATTAGATAATTTCCAACCTCTAAACCAAAAATGTCATTTCACTTGTGCACCATTACAATTGAACACTCATTCTCAAAGAAATGGAAACACAGTCATCGAACAGCCAAACAAACAAAACAATCAACATCTAAGACTCTGATAAGAAGCACATAAATAGTATGCATAAATAGCCTAATAAAATGTAGCATTGAAATAGGAAACAAATCGTACCACTGAAAAGGATTGGAGGATAACCAGACAGATCATTAAAAACGCCCAGAGAATAACTAATCGACTCAGAAAACCAAACAACCAAAGGACATTCAGCAAAACCTGTCAAACTCATCCACTAAAAATTGAAGAAAAAAAAAAAAGGAAGGAAGGAGAACTCACAGAGACAGGCTTGTCCAGTAGCTGCATGCAAATGGAGCAATTGAACTTATCACCCAATAACCCCAAAAGCCCTCCAGCATCACCATCTTTATCATCACTGACATCACCATGGCCTCCGGCGGTCCCGCTCAAAAGCTCCTGCCGTTTCAACGCTTTCTCCCGATCCGTCAGCGAATCATCGGACTCGATCTCGCGGATCCTGTCAACGAGGCCTCCTCCGCCGTGGACGGCCGATTCAGTAGCGGCGCCGGAACAGTCGGGGCAGTCCCATTGGGCTGCCTCGGCTAGGGTTTCCGGGGGAGCGGCGAGACAAATGATGTGCCATGGCGTTGCGCACGTCTTACAGGAAAGCGTCTCTCCTTTCGCGCCGCAGACCATGCACACGCCGTCGCCGTCACAGGGGAGTTGGGCCACCATTGCCGGCTGACTTTAAAATTTGTATAAATAAATAATTAATTAGTATTGTTGTTTGTATATTATATAAGCAGCAGAGCAGCTGGAGTGAAAATTGCGATTGGAGGGAGAAATTGGGGAGGTTTGGCGCGGACTTGAAAATTGGACCTAAAATTTTTATTTCCTTATTTTAATAATTTCATTTCATTATTTGAGGCTAAAAATTTACCATAAAAATACAAAGTGAAATTTTGGAAAAATTTTAATGTGTCTTCTTAAATTTTTTCTTTTTAAATGTTTTACAAGTAATAATGTATTAATACAACGCCCGTATACTATACGTGTGTTTCATAAAAAATTAATTGTACAGTAAAAAGAAAAAAAAAATCTTACTATTAATTAATAAACTATAAATAGTTAATAAGAAAATATATTTTTAATATTTTCGAATTCAATGTAATATTTTATGAAGATTCTTATTTTATAATATAGGTATTTATTTTTGTCATAATTAAATAGATTAGTTAATTTATTAATTATTATACAGTTAATAACGCCCGTGAATATCACCGGAGCTTGAAAGTTAAATATTTGTATCAAATAAAGAAGTAAAAAAATATATATTCTTATAATAGAATAATAATAATTTAAATATACAAATAATAACTAAAAAATAACAAAAATAACTATTTAAAATAATACTCTTATTTTATTCTCAATTTGTTAAAATGATAATTTTCTTAAACACACACACACTCAATAATTTAATTTTGAAATATTTTTTTTTAAGTTTGATTATACTATAATTATACTTTTTATTTATACAATTTTTCTCCCTTATTTAATATTTTTTAAAACATCTTCAACTTTACAATATTCAACAATTTAAAATATAATGTATGAGTATAATTTTTAAACTTTATGAAATAAAATTATTTTTTTTATAATTTTAATAATAATGTTTATTTACTTTTTATCACGATCATAATGTTTATGTGTGCTCTTTATTTAAGTCGAGACATAAACTTTTGACATATTTTTTTATACTAGTACATGTTCATACTTAATTTTTTGTTTTCTAAATAAAATTGCTATATTATAGCATGTTAATACATATAAATTTTTACTGCTTTATAAGATAAGAAATATTTGATATATTTTTTTCCTCGCTGCCCTTCCTCTCATCTCTCCTCGCGAATCCCATCGGTAATTCGTCGTCTTCCCCAGTAGGGCGCGGCGAGCACACGGTGGGGGCTCTCCTGAGCCTCGCAGTCCGTCTCCGAGAGTAGTGACGCACGGGGGAGGGGGAGCTTTTTCGCCGGGGAGACGGTCGTGCCTGCTTTCCGACTTCCGCCTCAGGGGCCGGGAGTGAGTGGCGGGTGGATGGTTCTCCTCTGGTATCTCCATTTTGGTGGCCCTCTGGCGTTCTCTTGGAGGGGGCTGCGACCCCAAATTCCGATTTAGGGTTTGGTGTGTGTTGTTATGTGATTTCTAACAACGATGTAACACGTACTTAAGATGAGAATTATGAATGATTTGGACGTAAAGCATGTAGAGTAACTTCAACGATGGCCCCGGTCCGAGGTGAACCGAGGTGAAGAGCCGTGATGGGCTTTTACGCGTTGCTTAATAAAGTTTTTTCAGTTCGGAGAGCGATCCCCGTACAAATGTCATGGGTTCACTATTTATAGTAATGTTTGGTAGATACATTGGGATCTGTGTACTACTTTTTGGATAAAGTGGCTTTTTGTGGGCGGTTTGGAGCAGTGGGTCCCACATAAATGATGACGGATCTTGTGGAGTGGGATGGTTATGCGTAGGCACCTTGTCACCTGCTTAAGGAGGTGACGATCTCGGTTTATGTAGACCTCGGTAGATGCTGACCGACCTCGGTAGATGCTGACCGACCTCGGTCTTCGGTAGTTCGGTCCGGTTCATCGCCTGGACCGGGGTGGTGTTAAAATCACGTCGGTTCAATGGTCATCTTCCTCTTAATGTGATGTTTGGAATCTCTTAATGGTGTTTTACCGAATCGGATTATAACAGAGAGGCCCCCAATATCGGTGGGCATACGGAGTGATGGTCGTCGATGTTGCCATGCTAGACATTTAGAGACCCCGAATCGGTAAAAAGTCGGCGGCAGGGTGTTGTTTATTGTCTTCGGAGGGTCATCTTCGGTCCCCTGACCGACGTAACCGAGGTGAGTCATTTGTCCGAAGTGTAGACTGTATTCCGAGGTGAAGACACTTGGTGAATTTCGAGTAATTTTCAGGCAGTCGTGAAAGGAGAAAGGTGAATGGTCGTAACGGTCCACGATTTAATGTTTAGACCGAACGGTCGCGCCGTAATGGTCTTAAATGAGGTAACGGTCGACTTTAATAGGTTGCCACGTGTAACGGTAGGTGTCTTATCAGACGAAGAGGTGGCGCCGGTTGGAATTAGGGGTCGCGTCGGTTGGACGCGCCCCTAATTAAGTCTCTCAACGGTCATAAATCGAAAATTATAAATAGGGTTTAGCAATATCTAGTCGGGTTTTCTTCACCTTTGCTTTCATTTTTGAGCTTCCGTATTATACTTGTTGTTGAATTCTTCTGAGATTTCGAGGATTGTTTCCTGCTTGTTGTGCGTGTGCGACGTTTTCGGTAAGCTTTTTCTTCAATTTCTTCTTTTATTCCTTTTGTGTTCTGTTCGATTGTGCGATGGCGCCGAAAGGGAAGGGAAAGGCGGTGGCAAGTTTGTCGAGTACTGAGTCGGTTCCGTTGGATGTTTACCATGATTCGGAACTGGTTGAATTGGCCTTCGAATACCACCGGTGGGACCCGTCGTTGGTGAGGCACCTGAATATTAAGTTAAACGATGAGGACGGTGATATGGTCGTAGAACATGACGCAGCCGACCTCGTGGTGCCCCATTGGAGAAGACCGGTGAGGAAATGGCCCGATCCTGCGATCGATTTTATCGGTGAACCAAGTATCCTTACCGACGCCGATGTCGTGATGCTGAGAGAGCAGGTTCGGATCCCTCCCTCGGTGAAAATTTTTGCTCCTTATCCCGGGGAGAGAATAACAAGTCCACCTCCGGGTTGCGTGGGCGTCTTTGCGGAGAGTTTGAGGCCGGGATTAAGGTTCCCGTTGCCAAATTTGATTACGGAATACCTCCGAAGTTGGGGGTTACCGTTGTGCCAGATTACACCGAATAGTTGGAAAAAGATAATCGGTTTGATGGTGTTGCTGCACGAGAGAGGTGAAGGACTTCCGTCGTGCGATGAGATGAGGAGCATCTTTGCGTTTAAGCAAAGTCCGAAGAGGAGGGTTGCCGAGTCGTCTTGTTGCTTCTTTGCCGGGGCGAAACCGCAGCACGACGTTAAAGTCGGGGAAATAGTGACTGAGATTCCTGAGAGTCTCCACGGCTTCCAAGAGGAGTGGTTATGGATCGGAGGAGAGTGGCAGTCAGAGGACTTTTTTCACGAGCACCGAATTGATGGGATGACAATCCCCATGTTAATTCATTCCGGAGCCAGTGAGTTTGTTTTATTTTTTTTAATTTGGGATATACATTCCTGATTTCGGTGTTGTTCTGTGTACTAACAGGTCGGAACTTTTACTCTGTGTAGAAAAAGAGACTAAGCAAAAAGAACCGAAATTAAGTCCGGAATTCGGTGGGAAGTTGATAACTTTGGCCGGTTTGAATAAAGAAGACAGGGATTATCGCAAGCTTTTAATAGACTCAAAACTCGAAGCGGCTGGTTTGTCTCTTGGAGTTACTACATCGAAGTTTGACCCCGGTAAGAGAATTTTAACCAGTAACGATTTTGTCGAATTTTTCATATGTGTAGAACAGCTGTTTGTAACTTTGTTTATCCCTTGTCGATATGCAGTGTATTATCCCCTCCTCGGTTTTCTAGGCTATAACTCTGTCAAGGAAGCCAAGGAGTTTAGGTGCAAATTTCCGAATAGAGACCTTCAGTCCAAAGTTGGTAAAAGTCGAGATCTGAGATTGAACGACGCCATGAGGAGGGATCTTGTTCGTGCGTTAGTGAAGAAGACTGCCGGTCAGAAAAATACCGGGAAGAAGTCGACCGAGGTGGGGTCGAGTGCGACTTCGGCCGCCATGCCTGAAAACCCGAAGTCTGCGCCAGACGTAGCAACTACCGAAGTGTTGTCGGTAGTGGAGGCTGCGGCGATTAACCAAGCAGATCCTGAACCAGTCATAGCCGGGACCGAAATGATTGCGGTTGAGGTTGCTCATACCGAGGTGCCACCATCTTCTCCGAAGTCCCTGGAGTTGGAGCAACCGGAGAAGAGGAAGAAGAGGAAATTGGTGAAGATGGCAGAT